ATGTGTAAATGTTGTCTTGACTCTATATTTAGCTTCTCCTTTTCCTGTTACCCTTTTGTGCCAGGAAAAGCCGATTCACGCAATAATTAAGGATAAAAAAAAAAAAAAAGAGGGACAATATAAAAAAAGTTTAAAAAAAGGACAAGTAGGATATCACGTTTATCCAATGAAAATGTTTCCTTTATCTAAAGTCACATGGTTGTAGACTGGCATGACTTGGCATTATAAACACCTTTCTTTATTCCTTTATGTTTTCACACAACAAGGACTCGTTTGAGATATTGAATATTAGTAGAAATGCATCGAATGCAGAGATAAAGAAGAAGTACAAAGAATTAGCCAAAGTATATCATCCAGACAATACAATAACTGGAGATATCCAAAAATTTCAAGAGATAGTGAAAGCATATGAGCTATTAATGAAGCCAAAAGCGCAGCCGATTCAATACTACTATGCTCAAGACCCTATATACTATCAAGGAAAATGGTCATCACATACTAATACAAGATTTGTAAAGAATACGACATTCATGTCTTTACTAGCAGGATGTGTCTTGGTGATCAGTACAGTCCATTTCTTTTACTTTCAATCATCACATGCAAATTTACGTTATGCAGCTGATCAGCATCATTTGAGATCAACTATCGACTTGAAAAGGGCAAGGACAGAGGCTAAGTTATTTGGTAACGAAAATGGTATCAAGCGAGTATTGAACCACCGTCTGAATGAATTTAGAAAACAAGAATAAATATCTTTATTATTTAATTTTATCTTTAATCTTTTCTAGTTCATGAACATATCTTCTTGAGAATACTTCAATATAATAACTAGCACCATTCCATACACTAACAGCAAACATACCTATCAAGAAGGAGGTATGCAGCCAATAATGTTGATACAAATAATAGGTGGGCACAGACGTAACCACGTTATAGGTCAGTTGAAGCAACATGAACATTTCCAACTTGTACTTTTCTCCAAATAAAAAGGCTGTTGTCTGTATAAACCCTTTTTTACCATGTGTGTCATTGAGTAACCATGAATACGATGTCAGTCTCAATCCCGATTCTACTTTATCCCTCCTACGAACCATGATGAACAAATAGTAAAGGGATTGCCAGATGGCATATGCTGCTGTGCTATAAATGACGGCTTGCTGCAAGCTAATACTCGGGACTTGCTTAAATGCAGGATACTTGGTGTCACGATATAATGTCACAATACTTTGATTATCACAGTACACGTCCTTCACTAATTCGGGCATCCACCTTAAACAGTACATGACCAGCGGAGGGAAAATATGAATGAATACTGATGTCACCTTATCCAACGAGTGAAATACAAGTGAGTTTCTCCATGTAATAATCGCCCAAGCAACGGGTCCATTCGTCATGGTAAAGGTAGCAATCAACAATAAACTTGAATCTGGTTTGAGCCATAAAAAGAGCATAGTCATCACATTGACAAAATAACACATGTCAAAAATAAAATAGTGCCATCGTCTGGATCGATAGATAACATACCGTAAAATAAGCAAGATGACTAATTGCACGCTGTAATAAATGGGAATAGAGTTGGGGTATCGAATGGCCAGTGCAGGTGCGACACAAGAATTACCAACGCCTACCACAAAAGAAACCTTGTCTCGTAATTTTACTGTTTTAGCATCCCGATTCATCCGTCTATCAATCTTGTGATATTGTCGCACCAGCAATGCCTGGATTCGCGTTCGTTGGTCTTCTAGTTTCTTTGTCTGTGCCTTGATCTTCTCTCTAGTCTTTTGCGTCCACTCTGTCGATTTGACGACAAATTCTTTTTGTTTGTCTTCCAGTTGATTTGTTACTTGATCTAGTGCGGCTGATAGCATATCTATCATATCAAAGTCGTTATCTGATATGTAGCCCACAGTATTAGCCCAATCATCAAGTGCAAATATATCCTCGGTTTCTTTCTTGTCAAGAATATCAGGACTATTCTCTCCACTACTAGTGTTACTCTCACTATTCGCTTCTGCTTGCAAAGCATCAGGAGGCGAGTTAAGTATCATATTTATATCTTGCTCAGTCATGTGTTTTTTTAATAAAAAAAAAAAAAAAAAAAAAACAAGGAGAGAAAAAAAACCCCCTCAAGGTTTTATAACTCGCATAAATTAACTTTCACGTGACTGCCCTCTTGGTGTAATTCTATAGGTTGACGTAGTGAAGGCATCATGGATATAAAGTCATTAGAAAAATGATCGGCCATTCATTTTCGTCTAGCCAAACGAGGCATATCATGAAATAATAATATTGGGAAGCCTGAATATTTAAAAAAGCGTCATACTTTATTTCGTGTAAAAAGTATCTCAATAAAGCATATCTATATCACCTTTGTTTATCATTTCCAAAGTGGTATGTTGAAATGATTAGCACTTGTACACATTGATTTAGCGTCCTTTTCTGTCGTCTAAGGAGTTACGTCTGCTTCTTCGTTTATCATCTGAACGATCTTCTTCACGTCTACTTCTTCGCTTATCGTCTGAGCGATCTTCTTCGCGCCTTGAACGTCTATCGGATGATTTTTTTCTTTCTGGACTTTCATAGCGACGAGAACGATCTTCATGTCTACTTCTTCGTTTACTATCTGAATTGTCTTCCTCGCGTCGTGGACGTTCTTCTTCACGCCTTGATCTTCTACTATCCACTGAGCGGTCTTCTCGTCTGCTTCTTTGTTTATCAGTTGAGCGGTCCTCTTCACGTTTTTGTCGTTCTTCTTCATGTCGTGAGCGGTTCTTTTCACGCTTTGATCGCTCTCCTTCATGTCGTGAGCGATTAACATCACGTCTTGACCGTCTATTGTCGACTGAACGATCTTCACGTCTACTTCTTTGTTTATCATCTGAACGATGGTCCCGTCTTGAGCGTCTACTGTCTACCGAACGGTCCTCACGTCGGCTTCTTCGTTTATCATCTGAATGATCTTCTTCACGTCTTGAACGTCTATCAGATGATCGTTTCCTTTCTGGGCTTTCATAACGACGAGAACGACGACGTCTGCTGCTGTCTTCTTTATTATCATCCCTGGAGCGGGATCTTTTCTTACTTGATGGTTTGGATTCCTTTTCTGGTTGTTTCTTAGTCATATCTTCACCATGTTCATCCACCAAATCCCATTCATCTTCTTTTTTCTTGGGCTTGGGGTTTAGTGTGCGTTCGATGTTGGCTAAAAGGGCTTTGGCTCCCTCATGCTCTGATTCGAGTTTTAACACACGCTCCAGTTGCTCTGCTGCTTCTTTTAGTTTACTTTGCTGTACAAGTCTGATAGGGAAAAAGTGTGAGTTTCAATAGGTTGAAAGCGCAGTTTATTTACCCTTCAGCCACGTGGAACCAGCCTTCTGCATATTTTGGGTCCATGTCAAGTGCTCGTTTATAATACTCCATAGCTTCTTTGATTCTATTTTGCTTTACTAGCTTGACGCCTTCTGCCACGCTATATATACATATATAAGGTTAAAAAAAAGGGCATATATGAAAGTCTGTTCCTTACGAGTCTCTTGCATAATTCCTGTTTTGTATATCACGTAGCTCTAGATAATTTTCCAAAGGTCTTACTTGCTCTACCGTGATGGATCGGTCATCAAGTACTTCAGGTAAATAAGGTATATCTTTCAATAGTGTTTGCTGTCGGGTAGCCTTTGAGTTGACATTAAATAAACTAGCCAATTTTAACCACTGATGAGGATTAAGCAACATGGCCTCGTCATGAATATTGGATAACCAAGCAGATTTTTCGCTAGGTGTAAGTATACTTAATTTTTCAAATAAAGGCTCTTGTGATTGTTGTTGTTGTTGTTGTTCTATTAGTTCGGTCGTCAACTTTTCATTCACTGCGGACTGTTTCTCACCATTTCTTTGCTGTTCTTCTTTTTCTTTTCTAGCTCTTCTGTCAGCCTTACGACGAGCAAGGTCATTGGCAGCTTCCTTAAAGATACTGTCAACAGAGGTTTTTACAGACTGTTTTTTAATAAATGCTTCCAGTTTGCTTTCAAATGCGTTTGTACTTTCAGTATCATTCAATAGTGTAATAGGGGGAGTTGTTGGTGTATAGCCGTTATTTGTATTATTATTATTGTTATTGTTGTTATTTGCATTAATGCTTGAAGGTAAAGAAGCCTTTCTGTAAAAATAATGTCTCGAAGGTGTTCTTGGTGGTGTATTTGAATCTGTGGTTATTGCTGTGTTCATTTGGGGTATAAAAAAAAAGAGAAAGAGAGAAAAAGTACGATGTGACTTTGAAACATCAGTAGATTTTTAGTTTGTATGGATAAAATTCAATTTCAGCTAGCAAATGATTTTCAGGTTCATATACTAGTACTTGCTTTTAACAAGATCATGAATAAAAAGTACTGGCTAAGCTTTTTGTTTATAATTGTTATCTAAGATAACGAGAGAGAAAAACAGCTCATCATAGCTTAAGAGTTGCTCTCTTTAACATTTTAAGCCACTAGCACTGGTCGAATGGCCTCCAATGCCAAGAGAGACAAGGCAAACACTACCAGCTTTTCAATGCATTCAGCATGTCTATTAAAATAAGTATGTTAGTTTAAAATAAAAATACATAATAGCTATTACTAGTTTACTTTTTGTGTTTTCGTGGATATTTTAAGTTGATTGAGAGCATCGTTCCTGTCAGACAAATTTTCTTTCTTTGGAAAAGAGAGTTTGCAAGTAGAAACAAGTACTCTATTAACTAGATAATGCCTAGTCCCATACTTTAGCATTACTGTAGTATTTCTTTCATATGGCACGCTCAAGAAACGAAACCAACTATTTATGAGTATCATTTTCTGTTTATTAAAAACTAAATTTCTAAAGATGTATGTCTTGCATAATATCATCACTTTATTCAGTAACTATTGGCACACAACGTAATATCAATAACCCTAGTGATCTTGATTATCAATCTTTTCTTCCAACTTGATAACATGTAATACATAAAATGAGTTTGATTAAAGCATTAGTCTTTTTAAGTAATCTTTAATGTATTCGAACAGAAGATGAAGCTAGTGTAAATCATGCCATGAAAAAGAACTTTACAAGCGATTTATGCAACAATAGTGTTCAATTACCAGCTACTTGAGCTTATTGCATCTAAAGAGGGAAAGCGGCTTCTCTACTTTTAGGGAGGCATACACTGTATCAAAAGAGTATGCCTATTTATTTCGATAATGAATATCAATCAAACACACATAAACTAGTAGAGATAATATATACTAAGCTTTTAAAGATGAAATTAAAGATCAATATTACTTATTTAGTAGCTATAAATTTCATTTTATTTTGTGTTACTCTTTAAAAAAAATATAGACTCGTGAAGGGCAAAGAAGTGCCTCCTCTTCTTTTATTTTTCTCTCCCTCTCTCTCTCTTTCTATTTACACTACTCCCCTTCCATTCCTTAGCTTATGTCGAATAACAAGGATAAACGTCGTTTAACAGGATACAGTGGAAATACCATTGGTCATCAGTCAGTCTATGATGATTACCATGATGATACTTTTGAAGAATATGATGAGGATTCTGATAGTCATAATGAAGAAGAAGAAGAAGAACATGAAGTAGCACACGAGGATGATACTGGATCCGAATTGAGTATTCCTGACGCTGATATAGACTTCGATCTTGTCTATGCTCTTCATACTTTTTCAGCTTCTGTTGAAGGACAAGCCACGGTTGTGAGAGGAGACGCATTGACCTTATTGGATGATAGTAATTCTTACTGGTGGTTAGTTAAAGTACTAAAGACGGCCGAAGTTGGTTATATTCCAGCTGAAAACATTGAGGTTTGCAAATACTAGAATAACCAGTATCAAAACAGTCCACTGATCATTCTATACAGACACCGCATGAAAGACTTGCAAGACTAAACTCGCACCGTAACATTGAGGTAAGATTGTACTTTATAAAGACACCATTTCTTAAACTGTTGTTTAGATCACTCGAAAGGATAATTTTGATGCTTTCCCTGTTCCACCCACCACTAATCCAACCAAGACTCGCAAGAGAGTAACACTTGCAAAAGGAGTCCAGTATCAATCTCAAATCATCTTTGGCTCAAGTGATAGTGAAGATGATGATTTTGAAGCTGAATTTCAAGAATGGGATGAAAAGATGCGTTCCTCAGATGAATCAGACCTTGATTCTTCCACAAGTGGTGATGATGACGAAGATGACGATCCTTATCATTATTATGATGAACCACAGCCTATTTATCCTAATCAGCCTCACCGTTCGATTCTGTCAGAAGAGGAAGATGAAAAGATTATTCCAAACTTAGATTCACACCTAAGCGCTGATTCTGATATCATTAATGACCCTAGAGATTTTATTTGTTATCAAGGATCTCAAGAAATGGAGCAAAAGAAAGAAAATGATAGTGATTATGATGACAATGATGATGATTTTAAGGACGAAACTATAAAAATATCGCTTACGCCATCCATTGCAAGAGGCTCGGAAGATAGTCGTCGTGACTCAGACACGAGTATACAAACCAAGTTGAAAAAGGCGGCCAAATTGGAGAGATTACTTGCATCCTCCTCGTCTTCACCCTCTTCAACACTGCCTGACAAGAAAGAAAAGAAAGCAAGTGGCATTCGTAAATTCTTTTCGAGAAGCAAGAAGCCAGGCAGCAATAGTAGTAACAACATAGACACAGCTCAAGTGACAATCAATGACACATCGTCTCACAATTCATCTCAACCAACCATTGTGAATGAAGCAACGAGGTTAAAGATACAACCTGGCAACCCAACTATGAAGTTTAAGGAAACACACATTGATGTATATCCAAACACAACAGCATGCGAAGTTATCCAGCAAATATTGGACAAGGAAAAAGGGCTTGAGCAAGAATCGGAATCCAGCTATAATGACTATTATTTGATCGTGAAGACATTGAGCGGAGATGAATGTACGCTAATACCTTCAGATAAGCCATTGGAGATATTCTATTCATTAACCGCGCATCTGAATACTCCTATGCCATCATTGAAAAAGGCAAGAAGAATATCTCAAATGATGGGCAGCGATAATCATGTAGGGGGCCCAGTAAGGGATGAAACGCATGATGAAGTACAGTTCTTTTTATTTTCCAAGACGAAGCGAATTGAAGATGGCGAGATTCAAATCAAAGTGTCTCTGCTACCTTCTGATCAAATGCTAGAGGATAGTAAGAGAGTTGATAAACTTGTCAAGATACCTTGCAGCTTTTTGATAAAAGATGTTGTCACTCTACTTTTGGAGAAGTTCCATATTCTGAATGGAATAGTTGCTGGTGACGATGATAAGAAATCGCTTAGATTAACAGATGAGAACGAGATTGCAAAGTATCAGCTAGCTATGAGTGTGGCTGAACAAGGTACGAGTGGCGATAACAGATACATGTTGATTACTAATTAAACGATAGAACGTCTCTTACCTCTCAATGAAAAACTACTTGCTGTCTTTGGTGATGATATTCCTCAAATCCACTATAGACGTAACAGTAACCCTGACCGTAGTTCGATCACTGTTAATATCACTCCACCTGAAAAAAATGAAACTTATTTCCTCTTGAGATGTGTCGAAAGACCTAAAAAGAAGGAGATTGAAAAACAGACAACAGGAGGGCCAAGTAAGTTGAGCGAATATAGATATAACAGTAGACTAAAAAAGATGAATGATAGGGCATAGACCACATCATCATCTTGTTCGTCAAGATACACCTATGCCAAGAAAAGAGCCTACACCGGACAATGGATTTCAACCACCTACACCGACTATACTATCTACTTCTCCTAAAGATGAACTATTAACGCAAATTGATGAAGCTATTCAAGATACCCTCTCTCATTCATCACTTTCAATCATTTCATCCTCATCTATCACCGAACAGCCAACCAGCACGATCCCTCAACGCCACATAAGACCATCATCTACTGAATCCATACTATTTTATACCAGTGATTTCGGTGTGAATGATTTAATGGTTATTATCAGAGGTGCAGCTGCACTTCATGAAGTCAACCATACCTCAACAACAACAGCTCTTCGCAGTGAAATAAGTGATGTATTTAAAGATACACATTCGAGACTAGATCAATTAGAAAAGGTAAGCATATATAATAATGTGTTCAATAGTTAATGATTAGAATAGGAACTGGATCGTATTATGACTGAAGCAGTTGAAGTGTATCATTAAAAATATTTTTGTTTAAGTATAATTTGACAAGTTTATTTCAATAAAGAATAATACTAACATAAACAATAATAATAATATAATATAATAATATATACTTATAATAAACAATCGAATACAGTAATGAATGCAAATCCCTTATGCGTATATAATGAATGAATGGAAAAGGAAAGTAAAAATAAATAGACTTATACATTATTATTGTTATTATTCTTCTTGACTGTTTCAAAATGCTGTTTTACAATCAATTCAGCTACCTTTTGTGCTTCTGATGCTGTCGTCACTACTCTTTTATCATTCATGATCCATTTTGCATTAAATGCACGCTGATAATGATAGGAAGGTAAGGCACTAGGTGCTGATCTTGAACGACGTCTGAGCATAGGCATAGGTTTAAACATGCCGGGCTGTGTTCTATTCTTTGATTTCATCACTTCATTTCTAAAAAATTGTCTCATTTCTTGATCAAGATCAATAGCGTCAAGTAATACACCCAAGGATAACTTTTGTCCATAGCTGGGCAAAATAGATGGTGCTGATGTTGTACGAATATGGTTACGTTGATTAACAAGTACAAGCTCTTTTTTAAGTGAAGGTTGTTCTACTCTTTTCTTGTTTAATCGTTCAATAGAAGGAAGAGCTGCCTGAAGTGATGGAAACATTTGTATACAAGTTAATGTTTGGGAAAAAAAGAAAAGAAAAAGAGAAAAAGAGAAAAAGAAAAAAAATCATTTTATATACTTGCTTTCTCTCGCTCTCTGTCTTTTCTTTATTCTTTCTAATAGTGCCCTCTATTCTTATCCACCCCCTCAAATTCCAATTGATTTAGATACTAACTAAACTTTTTTATATAAAAAAAAGCAATAGAAAAAGAAACAAAGAAAAAAAAAGAGGCACACACTTCTCCTCAGTTTATTCCCTTAATTTGTTAAGTCTTCATCCCTTATTACATCTCCCTTAGGTCACTGTGTTCGTCAATTCTAATCTTGTTTATATGAATATATATATTTATATATATAACCCCTTATTGCAGGAATTTTATTTCATTTTTGGTAAATCCTTTGTATGACTCTGGCAAACCCCATTTTGGAATCTTAATTCAAGGTCATATTTAACTGCGCCCTATGCAAATCGCGCGTTCATTTAATACCTTCAACCTCTTTTGATATCTTAAAGGTTTAACTGAATGCAAAGCATATAAATCAATAAGCAAAAAGAAAGGATAAGTATAACCTGTAAACATTGAGCAATGCAATTCATCATCAACATCTTTGTGTGTAAATGTGTGTCTTCTTTTTTTTTTTCTAGAGTAACCCTGCATCGTAATCTCATTTAAACGTTTCCCGGCTATATTTTCACTCCATGACTCCTAAACATGCTTAAATGAGATAAGCTATTGCATGCTTAGACATATATTCATATAAAGTCTTTATTATTGTATCATCAAAATAATGTTATTCTCAATTCATTACGTGTCATCTCTACGGTATTTTTCTGTATATAAAGAGTACTTTCTGATCCTTTCCCTCTTTTCTCTTCTGTCTGTAGTTGGAATGACAATCCTATCGCATTACGTCAAAATGAAGTATCCTTATATGCCTGAGCACTGACGACATCAAAGTTGCCAAATACTGACTTATAAAAAGCAACTATATTGATCATTTATTGTTTCAATAACAACCGAGAGATCATACATGCTGTGAGTATTATTTTTTTTCTTTTTAAAACAATGGCGGCTTTATGCATACGCTGATCTGCCAAGAGTCCAATGACTGATAGGTATTCTTGATCTCCTTTCTTCATCCCCCCCCCTCTCTGTCTGTCTCTCTTCTCCTTGCTTTGAGTGCTTTTTGCTAGTCTAGATTTCGCCTCAAATATATCTTTGAGAAGATCATAAAACAGCATTCCAATACGCCCTTTAACGGAAATCATGAAACATGCAATGTTAACCCGCACATGGCGTTACTCTGTCACACTTGATCATCGGCTGACTTTTTGTTCAAAAGGGGCGATGGAATGTCTCCTGGTCACAAGAAAAAGGGAACTGGAAGAAAAGAGGGAGATAAGAACCAAGAAGACGTCATACTGTTAAGTCTATCAAACATATCTCCAAGAATAGTGTTTTGTTAATTATCTCAAGTATAACTTTTCTTTCCTTTGGAGAAATATACAACGTCTTCAAAGTCATAAACAAACAACGTCATGCTTTATTGATCCTTTAATGACTTTAGCAATTGTAATATAAACTTTTCTCTCTTCTCTTTTGCCACCAATGGGTTACGTTCTTTAAAGTCAACAGGCGGTCTCAGCAAGACGGTGAATAGTTCAACTATAGATAAAATGAGACACTGCAGAGCGTATGCTTTTTTTTTTCCCTCTTACCAATTTTGTTTTCTCTTTCTTTTCTTACTGAAGAAGGAGCGTGATCAATAGCTTGCCTTAAAAACATACCAATGTAAAGTAAGACATTGCGTCGAAAAGGCGGCAGAGATTCTTTGAGCTAATATAAACTGTTAGCTGTGATCATTTAGACATACCATGAGTTTACCATATTCATTGCATCTACAGATTCTGAGGCTTCTAAGGCACGCTCATACATGCTGGTTGGTATAACGGGATCAGGTAAGCAATCTAAAAAGGCTACTAAGACATCAATCATCGAATTTGCACTAATTGCTTCTTTATCCAAAGATCTTTTAGATACACTTTCTTCTTCCAACGTAAGCTCTGACAGGGATAGCTTATCTGATTCCTGATCACCAAGTAGCGTGTTGGTATCAAATTGCTCACCATTATCTAAACATTGACGAATATAGGTTGAAATAACGAGATCTCCGTGGTATAAGAACAATGATTCCTGCAGCACAAAAGGGTTAGTCTTCGTTGGTTTTTCCCTTTTTAATTGAATGCTTACAATACGAAACATGTTGGAATTCCATAAAAAGTTCATCACCTTCCACAACTCTTTAGGTAAATCAATCTGGTTTAAAACTGGAGAAGGAGGCTGAGATGGGTTAGAGGTCGGCTTTGTCTTTTGCAAGTTTTGTGCTGCTTGTTCACTGATTGGTACTGTCATTTCTGACAACCGTTCTAGAGGCACACCGAAACATGTAGGCACATAGTCACCAGAGATGGAAATAAAAAAGTCTTTACTATTTTCCAAGCGAAGGATGAGTATATCTTCAATCTTTTGTTCTCCACGGTTCAAAGGGGCCGAAATCGTAGGATCTACCATGACTTCAAAGCGAATGACTGCTCTTTCTCCAGGCGCAAGAACACCTGATATGGGCGATACCTGAAGCCAAGGGGGCAGAATATTGACCTCATCATTCTTGGGCAAGAATCTGAATAGAGTAAGAACTCGGCCAGTGTTCTCGAGCAATATGGTCTTTTCCTTGTACTCTAAGAAATGAACCTTTTCAAAATCTACATAAGAAGTAGAAATTTCTCCGCGGGGTTGAGCATCTTGGCTTTCTTTCAGTTGTTGAACAAGAGCATCATGTGTCTTTTTTTGAAGGCGACTGTCGATCTTTCGAATATTCATGCTCATCAAGGCTCTTACTGGTTTATGATCACTCATCATCATATTCATACAGTGAGTATAGTCTAGCAACTCTAATCTCTCTTGTTCTGGTGAATCAACACGGCTCTTTTTCCACAGAATACGATCAGTCCAGGAGGGTGCACGGCGTTTTTCGCTTAATTTTAAGAATTAGAAGCCTGCTTGAGTTTCCTTTTATGCCTTACCTTGTATCATACTGATTGGTGCCTGGATCATATTTATATGTAGGTAGAAAGGTAATTGGGCCTTCTTCAAACATAGGGAATGTTCGGCCTGCCTTTCGTTCGATTGACAATTGGTCATACTCTAATAAAACATCGAGTCTATCTTGACGTAACCAGCTCTTAATGACCGATTCACTTAAATTAACACGATAATTAAGATCACCGCACCAAATTAAGAAGCTTTTCCCCAAAAAGAATGTAAGAAAGATTATCCAATGCTCTCTTTTTTTTGTTTTCTTACTCGCTATGGTAAATGGATGCCTCAACCCTCCAATCTCGAATGACATTGTTGTTTTCCACAAAGGAAACACCTTCATCACCACCATTATTCCAAAAGTAAGATACATAAGAAGTCAACTGATCTGGTTGATGGGCAAAGATCAATCGTTTTGATAGCTCTGTAAAGTCTTGATTTCTCTTCTCTGTCTTGTCAGTAAACGCAGCTAGATGACTGGTAACAAAGCATAGGTAGCTATCATGGAAACGTAATCGAACTGCTATACCACCTTTGTTACCCTTTTGAGGAGTATAAGTATAACTTTTTTTCTCTTTTTTCCCTGTACTCTTTTTACATACATTACCATCATATTCATTAAACCAACACCAGCCCACGTTATTTGTGTCTCTGAGATGAATGGCTTGTTTGTCTTTTTTGTAATGACGATCAATAGCATAGTCACAAGCTGTTTTGAAGCAACCTTGTAATAATCTTTTCCTTCATCCTTTAATGAGCTAATGATTGCTTTTACCCATGCGTTTTCTTTTGTTGGATCATAACGAATGTATGCTTCTGTATTTGTCTCCATCTCCTGTAACCCAATGATATAAAAATCAGGATCCACTTTCTTTCCATCTTTTGTCTTTAAGGTTCCTTGAAGCCACTCGGATAAAGAAGATGTAGGTAAACTGCCATGAACATTCCAAGTACCTATAAATGCACTTTAAAAATGTATTGAATACATACTTTACTTTGCACTGTATCTCATATCCTACGTTGCTTTTTCCCAATGAACAAATTCATTCTCCTTTTTCATCAGTTGTGAGTTAATCCAATGATCCTTTGCATCTTTTAATGTAATCCTTCGTTCCTTGGTAGTGGATAGAATGGATCTTGTACGTTTCATGTTGATTTTTTCAATTGTTTCAGCCCTTTGTAAGGGCAAGACATATTTCAATGCGCTATCGGGTCCATCTCTCAGAGGAAGTGAATTGGATCGAACAGTCGGTTTGGATTGTATTCCCACTATCTATGATTGAGTTTTCCTTTTCAAATGAATCTTTACACAAACTACCTCCAAACTTTCTATACACATTCACCCAATCATATGAAGCGTCATTTTGAGAATTTATGTTATTGTTGGCTTTTATATGTTAGACAATGTGACGGATTATCTGCCCTTTATTTACCTGCTACGGTAATAAGTCGCTTGATATCCGTCAATATCTCTGACATAATCTCTTTCTTGGGAAACACGATATGAGCGGAGTCTTGGTTCAATGAAAATGTAACCAGCAAATCTATAAAGTGTGCATGAATATCATCATCAGCATGTCATCACCAAGAGTTTACCAGGTTGTGTTGTTTTATCTGGTAACGGATTGGATTGAGCTAATCACTAGAATGAATTCTATGGTTATTTTAATAGTAATAATGAACAAACCGATGTTAATCTTTAAATCTGAATAAACTGGTATTGTCTTCAATACAATAGGTGGCATCGATTCGTCTTGTGACTCTTCTAGTAACAATAAGCTAAAAGAAAGAGTAAGTTGTGCTTGTGTTGTATTATTTGCTCTTTTACCAGGCTTCCCCTTTATTCACGTCTCCATGAATAACGATAACTAAATAACCATTCTTTTCATCTTGGGCCTTTGTATCGACAATTCTAACTTTGGAAACGTAAAATGACATTAAAGGTTAAGGACATTGTATAGTTTTTATAAAGTGTCAGTTTATAACATATATATAAAAGGATATGAATTCTGCCTTATCAGGTGGATTGACTAGGCCGTCCACTACACTCTGTCTTTTCGGCATTCTTCACTTGATTAAAAAAGAGTAAGAGAGAAGAAAGAAAGATAATGGCCAGTTGCGGAGTTACACACTCATCCCAAGTGGCTTACTTTTCCCTATCTCTCTCTCTCCCTCCCTCTCTTTTTCTCTCTTTTATAAAAAGTTACGCGTATTTGAAATGTCTATTGCATTAAGAGAGGAAAATTTTGTTGTAATCAATGTGGGATCCAATATAACCACTGCTGGTATTGGAATGCATGATACAAATAAAGCACCTGCTGTGGTATATTAAAGACACAATACAAATACAAACCTATAATAATGACATACGTTTAGTTTGTCAATATGGCTGACTTCAATTATCCAATCAAAGACAATAGAATCAGTAACTGGAAGGATCTTGAGGATTGCTTACACACCATTTTGTTTAAAGAAATTGGAATCAAGAAATCACGAAATGAATGTCCAGTGCTATTATCTGTTCCTGTTCAATGGACAAAGTTAGAACATGAACGCATCACGCAGATATTCTTTGAAAACTTTAATGTACCAGGCATCTATATTGCGCCACAACCCTTATTGACTTTATTCGGATGTGGTGCTGTTTCTGGTATTGTTGTCGATATTGGAAGTCAAATTACAGGTAGAGACGATGAACAATATACACGTTTGTATTCTAATACAAAAGAATAGATATCAATATTGTCGTAGATAGCAACGTTCAACTACAATCCAACTTTATGATCCCTATTGGAGGCAATCACTTTGACGCTTACTTTTTAGAGCTATTAAAAAAAGATACACACCTTGTAGAGCAATTTAACCAGCATCAGCTTGAGTTAGATTTAGACTTTGCAAAATATGTTCGTGAACTGCCTGGAATTTGTAATGTCGCAATTGGACACGACTTGGAAGATGATAAATTTACAACGCAGCTATCCAATGCCATGGAAGAAATGCCAACTGCTGCTACTGAGGAGCTATTAGACGAAGATAACCCAAAGAGCAAAGGAGATGAAGATGCTGTTGGAGATATTCCCGAGACGGTAGATATAGAATACAAGGGTCATACATTCACAGTTGGTCCATATCGTCATCAAGTCATCGATCCACTCTTCTTTCCTGAGCTGATACAAGTCCAATGCCTATCACTTCCAGAGGCCATGCGATTGGCAGTAATGAATTGTGAACCGCCAGAGATTCGACCCAAGCTTTGGGAGAGCATTGCCATTGCTGGTGGATGTTGCCTAACAACTGGGTTATCAAAGCGTCTTAAAGTAGAAGTACAAATGGTTTTGCCTCAGTCAGAAAATGCAGGCGACACTCAACCTCGTATTATCAACTTTTTAAGAATTCCCGAATACTTTACAGTGCTCAAAGAAAAAGAGAACCAAGTTTATTCGACATGGCTAGGCGCAGAAATAGTTGCAAAGGTAAACACATAATAAAGTCAAAAATTATGGCCCTATATAACTCTTTTAAATAGCTTGTATTCATAGACGCCAAGAATTATGTTAGCAAAGTGGATTATAATGAGTTTGGTCCATCTGTCATTCATACAAAAGCTTATTAAAACTCAGTGCAAAATAATAAATTTCTTTTCTTTTGCTTCCTTATTCTTTTCAACCATGGCGCGTATAAAGAAAAGGAACCTTATAAGCTTGCTTACTGTCTTATTTATCGTGCTTGCTGCACTTGTTCCTAAAGTCAAAGCTTGGACAGAAAGTAAAATAACACTTCATCTATAAACATTGTCACTGATGATCCAATAGCCGATTTCGAGATCTTTGACCTTGTAGATGCTTTAGAAAAAGCAGAAGGCAAAGACACAAACTTTTATAACTGGTTGGGCGTCTCTGTACGTTATATCATTCAATACAATAGAAAGAACTAATTTTTTGCTGTCTTCCTAGCCTTCTGCTACTCAAGGAGAGATTTCAAAAGCGTATCGTAAACTATCACTCAAATGGCAGTAAGTCATCATCTTTGAACATGACAGTCTACTTACTGTGATACATAAAGCCCTGATAAAAACAAGAATGACCCCAAGGCAAAAGAGCGTTTTGCTAGATTAGGTGTGATTGCCAGTATTCTTCGTGATCCAACCAAAAGAGAAAGGTACAACTTTTTCTACAAGAATGGAGTGCCTCGTTGGCGAGGCACAGGGTATTTATACAGCCGATTCCGACCGGGATTAGGCACGGTGATCATTTTACTCTGTTTGATTGCTTCTGTTATGCAATATATAGCCGGACAAGTCAATTACCGACAAGAAGTACGCAGAATTATCCGTTTTGTAGAAGATGCCAGAGCTCAGATGATGGCAAATGCGCCCAAAGGTCGTGCGCCTTCGTTAGGCAAAAGTTTCATTGAAGTAGGACAACGAGTCATGCGATGCGAGGTGAAGGGAGATCACTATCTGATTGTTTATCCCAATGAAAACAGCCAGGAGCCAATCCATCTAAACGTGGAATGGGTGAAGAAGCCAACGATTCAAGACATATTTATTATCAGTTTGCCAAAGAGATTATTTTATAAGCTATTAGGTAAAAAAGATACAATTGAGCAAGATAAAAAGGAGACAAAAGAAGAAATAGAAGAATCAGTGCCAAAAAAGAAAGCAGCACCTGTACGTAAAAGAGGTGCACCAAAAGTGAACAAATATAAATAAAAATGTGCACACACAAACTTGATGATATTTTAATTCCAATGCTTTTATTTTATAAAAGGGGAGGGACACAAAATACATGTAAGGAGAGATATAGAAAGGAAGGGAAACTGTACACATTTTTATTTGGAACCATTTTTAGAAGATCTACCTAGTCTATGAACACGCAAATGTCGACGCATATTACTTTGTACACTAAATTGACGTCCACATCCTTCCTCTAAACAAACAAAAGGCTTTTCACCTGTATGGGAATATGTGTGTATGCGTAACGAAGAGGGTCTATTGAAAGGCTTTTTACAGTAAGGACAGAAATACTTTCCTGTCTTTTCATCTCTTTCTATTATCGGCTTCTCTTCTTTCTCCTCTAATTGTACCATCTTGTTGTTATTCATATTTAATGCATCTGATAATAAATGGTTGGATGAAGGTGGGCTTGCAGTGCGTGCTCGATGAGGTAATTCATTGATGAATGGTAAATTATTATTATTGTTGCTATTGTTGTTGGGAGTAAGGTTTGACTGATAAAAATCAGTGGCTATAGTCGTATTAGCAGAGACTGTACGTCGGTGTGTTTGATGTCTCTCTCTTCGTTGATTTAACATCGTATGTGTAGTGGGTAGTGGCGGAGTCGTGCTGTGTAATGGATGAGCGAGTGTAAAATCGGAAATAGACCTCGTATGACTCGCACCAGGCGGTCTTCTTGCTGGTGTACTCAAAGGTGGTAATAATGTAGTAAGACTAACATTGGCTGTAACAGCAGTAGTAGCACTTGTAGTCGTAGTAGTAGGAGGAGTACTAGTAACAGCAGCGATAGTAGTATTCGTAGCACTAGTAGTTGTTGTCGTTGTTGTAGTGGATGGGGGCATGATCATCCAACTTGGTACATTGTTGGGTATGCTATTCTGTGAAGAAGGTCCAGAGATAGAGAGTTGTTGAAGCTCGGATGGTAAACTGCTGATACTATGGCTTTGTCTGTGGTGCCGTCTTGGTGCACTAGGAGGATTGGTTTGGGTTTCTTTAATCATGTTACCACCATTGCTTTCATCATTTAATAAGAATTTAATCGAAGGCAAACTTGGATTCTTGGTGTGAGTCATAAAGAAATGGGAAGGAGAAAAAGAAGAGATAAACTGGGGGTTAGGTCATTGTGGGCCATTTTTAAAAGAAAATAGTCGGAGTTTACATTCAATGGTTTAAAGGAAAATAGTGTTCCAGCATCTAAATGAGAGTATATTTCCTTTGAGAAGGGCAAGAACAAGGGCTATAGACTATACTATTGTCACTATTAAGCGACTAGTGGTCTATGTGAAAATATAGAAGGAGAGAGACAGTTGATCATGTCATTTTACTTTACATCCTTGTCAGTTCAAAACTCAGTGATCTACATTCATTCACAGATTGAAAGCTCTGCGTTAAACAAGGATAATAGGACATTCATAATATCTTCTTTTCTTTCTGTATATTCACTGTGTAACGTGTATTTCTGCAGAATTAAGTATTTATAGACGGATGATTCTTTTTATAGTAAAGTAAGCCTTAAAAAAAGGAGACAGAATGACTTCTTGCAAATGATTCCAACATTCGTTTACTATATCCCTTGAATTTATTTGTTGTTGCTTAGTTACACATTTATGTCACAAGATCATCTTAGTTTAGATGAGAAGAATAAAGAATATGCCCATATTGACGTATTTAGTCAATTTGAACCTTGGAAATAATAATAAAAAAAATTCAATTGGGACAGAATGACAGACATGGAGAAAAGTGTTGAAAAGAAACGTGTTAATTGTGATAGCGTAGAAACTGAAATGGGCGACGGATTTAGAGATCAAGACTTTGTTGACAGTAGTAATGCAAATGAGGACAATTCAAATACAAACGATGTTGTCATACCACCAAAGAAGAAGAAAAGGATGCCAAATAATTTGAATACCAAAAAGAGCAAATATTAGAAAAAGTATAAAAGTAATCTAGCAAAGATCGATTGGAATAAAGCAGACTTGGAAACAACAGACTTTTCTTCCCTCGACCTATTGAGCATGAAATACAGGAGGAAGCAGAAAAGAAATCAGAGAATTGTTTGATATTCCAAACGAAGAGAATGATGATAGTAAAGATAGCTTCATTACATAAGAAAAGGAGAAAGATAATGACGACAATGATTGGATAACAGATAATGAAGAAGAAGAAGAAGTTACCAATGATAAAGAAGAACAAGACGGATTTATGAATCTATTGAGTACGATAAACTTTAGAGGTGTCAGTCTTGCTTTAAATAATGCAAAATTCCCAGCCATGGAACAAACAGCACTTTATCGCACAGGATGCCTTGTTAAAGAATATATCAAGCATTTATCTGAAAATCTAAGTGAAAATGAACAAGAGATTGAACAAGTCATCAAGAAAACAATTGAACAACATAAACCAAAGATGACCTTTGAAGAAATGGATAAGTCCTGATCATATGATCCTTTATCTATCTCAATTAGTTGTCCGACTCGAATAAACTTTTCATCTGGCATAAATCCATTACGCATCCTCTCTTTTCACCTCTTGTAATCCAATATGGTTAATTCCACAATCGATGAAATTCGTCGCTTGATGGACAAGGTTACCAATGTCCGTAACATGTCCGTCATTGCTCACGTCAACCACGGTAAATCTACTTTATCCGATTCCTTGGTCTCCAAGGCCAGTATTATCTCCTCTGGTCGTGCTGGTGAAGCCCGTTATATGGATACTCGTAAGGATAAAATCAGACGTGGTATTACCATCAGGTCCACTGCCATTTCCATGTATTTCTAAATGGGTGAAGAAGATATCAAGGAAAACAAGGATCAAAAGACCGATGGTACCGCTTTCTTGATCAACTTGATTGATTCTCCCGGCCACGTCGATTTCTCTTCTGAAGTTACCGTTGCTCTTCGTGTCACTGATGGTGCCCTCGTCGTCGTTGACTGTATCGATGGTGTCCGTGTCCAAACTGAAACTGTCTTGCGTCAAGCCTTGGGTGAACGTATCAAGCCTGTTATCTGTCTTAACAAGGTTGATCGCGCCCTTCTTGAACTTCAATTGGACAAGGAAGAACTTTACCAATCTTTCTCCCGTGCCATCGAATCCGTCAACATTATCATCTCTACCTACATTGATGAAGCTCTCGGTGACTGCCAAGTCTACCCCGAAAAGGGTACTGTTGCCTTTGCTTCCGGTCTTCATGGCTGGGGTTTCACTCTTCGTCAATTTGCCAATCGTTGTGCCAAAAAGTTCGGTGTTGACAAGGAAAAGATGATGACCATGCTCTGGGGTAACAACTTCTTCAACCCCAAGACCAAGAAGTGGTCCACCAAGGCCACCGATGCTGATGGCAAGCCTCTTGAACGTGCCTTCAACATGTTCGTTTT